GGGTGATACTGGCTTCATAGAATGACTAAGAGAGGGTTCCCTCCTTCTCTATCTTATAGAATAATGTTATAGGATTGCTATCAATTCTTTTGACATTTTATATTTTGATTAATTTTTAATATAAGCAATTTAAAGCAACAAATTTCCCTCTAAAAGCTACTTTTATGCCACAGTTCTGGTACACTGTGTTTTTATTTTATTATACATTGTGCTTTTATTTAGCCCAAAATATTTTTAAATTTCTCTTGAGATTTTGCCTTTGACTCATGTGTCATTTAGAAGTATGATGCTTAACCTCTAAATATTTGGGGTTTTTCCAGCTGTCTTTCTGTTGTTGATTTCTAGTCTAATTCCATTGTTGTCTGATAATAGACACTGTATTATTTTTATTCCCTTAAATTTGTTAAGCTGTGCTTTTTGGCCCAGAAAGTGGCTTTTCTTTATGAATGTTCCATGTGAGCTTTAGAATAAGATCTCAATTCTTCTTTAAATGTCTGGTAGAATTCTGCTGTGAATCCGTCTGGTCCTGAACTTTTTTTTGTTGATAATTTTTTTATTACCATTTCAATCTTCCTGCTTCTTATTGGTCTGTTCAGGTATCTCATTCTTCCTGATTTAAGCTAGGAGGGTTGTATGTGTCCTGGGATTTATCTCCTCTGGGTTTTCTAGTTTACGCACGGAAGTGTTCCTGGCAGCCTTGAATGATCGTTTGTACTTCTGTGGTATCAGTTGTAATACCTCCCGTTTCATTTCTTATTTGGATCTTCTCTCTTCTCTTCTGGGTTAATCTTGCTAATGTTCTATCAGTTTTATTTGTCTTTTCAAAGAACCAGCTTTTTGTTTCATTTATCTTTTGTATTGTTTGTTTCTATTTCATTTAGATCTGCTCTGATCTTGGTTATTTCCTTCCTTCTTCTGGGTTTGGTTTGGTTTGTTCTCGTTTCTCTAGTTCCTTGAGGTGTGGCCTGAGAGTATCTGTTTATGCTCTTTCAGACTTTTTGATGTCAGCATTTAGGGTCATGATTTTGGCTCTTGGCATCACCTTTGCTGTATCCCAGAGGTTTTGATAGGTTATGCCACTGTTCATTCAGTTCAAAGAATTTTTTAATTTCCATCTTGATTTCATTTTTGACCTAATGCTCATCCAGGAGCAAGTTATTTCATTTCCATGTATTTGCATGGTTTTGAAGGTTCCTTTTGGAGTTGATTTCCAGATTTATTCCACTGTGGTCTGAGAGAGTGCTTGATGTAATTTCCATCTTCTCAAATTCTTCAATAAATCTTCTTAAATTTATTGAGGCTTGATATGGTCTAACTTGGAGAAAGTTCCATGCACTAATAAATAGAATGTATATTCTGCAGTCATTGGGTAGAGTCTTCTATAAATATCTGCCAAGTCCATTTTTTCCAGGGTATAGTGTAAGTCCAGTGTTTCTTTGTTAACTTTCTGTCTTGATGACCTGGCTAGTGCTGTCAGTGGAGTATTCAAGTCCCCCATTATTAAACTGATTTTTTCCTATATCCCTTCACCTCATTTCCAAAGTTTTCTAGCTGCAGTTCATGTTGGTTGTTCTTTTGGGTCTTGGTATAATTTTCTTGTCATCTTTACCTTGTTTTGAAATTGTAAGTTATGGTTTGGGTCTGGGTTTTTTTGTTGTTTGTTCTGTTTTGTTTTTGAGATGGAATTTCACTCTCAGTACCCAAGCTGGAGTGCAAGGGTGTGATCTTGGCTCATCACAACCTCTGCCTCCCAGGTTCAAGCAATTCTTCTGCCTCAGCCTCCTGAGTAGCTTGGATTACAGGCACCTACCACCACACCTGGCTAATATTTTGTATTTTTAGTAGAGACAAGGTTTCACCAGGTTGGCCAGGCTGGTCTTGAACTCCTGACCTCAAGCGATCCACCCACCTTGGCCTCCCAAAGTGCCAGATTATAGGCATGAGCCACTATGCCTCGCCCAGTTTGGGTCTGTCTTGTAGGCATGTCTTTCCGATATGCTTTTGTTGTCTATAGGGATATTATTCTACTTCTTCTTATTTTTTCTTTTTTTTTTCTCTTGAGACAGGGTCTCACTCTGTCACCTAGGCTGGAGTGCAGTGGTGTGATCACAGTTCACTGCAGCCTCAACCTCGCAAGCTCAAGCAGTTCTCCTGCCTCAGCCTCCCGAGTAGCTGGGATCACAGGTGTTGTTAGAAATAAAGCTGTGTCATAAGGAAAAGCGAGCACTCAGACAAAAGATTTCTCAGCAAAGCAAATTGACTTCCGCAGAAGGGTGCATCTTGCATATGGAGCAATGGCGAGAGCATACAGAACAAAGGGAAGCAGGGGTTTTTAATTATCTGTGATGCAGCATCCGTTTCTGTGCCTTTCCTCTTTTGGCTAGGGTTGGACCACACAGTCTAAACAAGGCCTGGCTGGCTAAACAGTTAAACTTTCTTAGATAAGGTAGATGCATAATGGGAGAGAGGGCAGAGGAGGAAGGGGTCACCTGCAGTGAACTATTTACTTATTTCCTTCCTCAAATAAGGAAAGGAATGTGAGCTGGTGCTGTGGCATGGCTGGGCATGTGGTAAAATCAGAAGAAAAGGAGAAGACAAGGTTCGGGGGTTCTTGGAATTCAAGAACAAAGATCAGGCTGCGTGAAGAGAAACCTTGCCATATCTCACAGGTGTGCACCACCACACCCGGCTCATTTTGTCTTTTATTTTTTGTAGAGATAGGGTCTCACTATGTTGCCCAGGCTGGTCTAGAACTTCTAGGCTCAAGTGATCCTCCTATACGGCCTCCCAAAGTGCTGGGGTTTCACGCATGAGCTTCTGTTTTATTTTAACAACTTTGTATGGGATTTGACCTCAATGTTTTTCTCAGAATTTTGCTTATTTTTATGTGAAGTTTGTTTTCTTGAACTTTTGGAAGAAGGCCCAGTTAGAAATAGCTTCTTTACCTTCACAGAGTACCTTCTGCTTCCTTGTGTGTGGAGAACAGAGGTAAGGCAGCTTGCTTCCTGAGCCTCCGCGGCGCCATCTCCTTCCCCTGGTTGTGTCGGCGCCTCCTCACCTTTCTTCACATGGTTCCAAGGGCTGCACTCTCATGCCCTTCAGTCCTTATTGCAGCGTCCCACGTATTCACCTGTCATTGATAAGGCAAGACCCTTTCACTTACGGCTGCTGTCCTCAGATGGAACAGCTGTGGACTATTTGGGGTTCTCGGTTATGGGGTACATCCCACGGCCTGTTGCTGCCCCCTGCTGTGGACTATTTGGGGTTCTCGGTTATGGGGTACATCCCACGGCCTGTTGCTGCCCCCTGCTTCCTCTCACGCAGGTGCTGAAAGGACATTCAGGTCTTGCCAATGCAGATGGTATATTCTCACCCACTTGTAATTTGTGGTTTATTGTGGAGACACCTTGCCATCTCATCTTGCTGTAAATGTTTGTTATAATTGTCTTGTGAATGTCCCTGGGATTTTGGGTTTGCTGTCTAAGTGCTGTTTTCATGATGACATTGAGGGAGGTTCACAAACTCTGCGGCTACCACCATCCTCCCAGAATCTCCAGTCAGATTTATGTAATAAGCTAATTGTTAATGGAATCTGGAAATTAAAGTAATTCAGGATATGCCGTAACCAAAGAGAATCTCTACCGAAAGAGCATGAGTGTCCGGCTTAGGCAGCTGCGGGTGTGCGTACGTGTTCTGTTACTCACTAGCATGTGGCATTGGCTGGATTCTTCTCTGCTATGCCTCCCTTTCTTCATCGCTCCCCTGGGAAATCACCTTTGGAAAGGCTTCACCCTGCTGCCCTACACCTAGTAGGTGCTCACCGAATGCCCTTTCCACTTTCCCAGCCTTGATTCTACAGCTGAGTCAAATAACTTTTTGTTTGGCATCTTTTCTGATTTTTCACAGGACAGAAATTCAAGGCTTTTATCTGCTTCTTTGTTTGAACAGAAGGTGGCACTGAAATTTATGTTGTGGCTAGGCGAGGTCGCGCACACCTGTAATCCTAGCACTTTGGGAGGCTGAGGTGGGCAGATCACTTAAGGTCTGGAGTTTAAGACAAGCCTGGCCAACATGGTGAAACCCTGTCTCTACTAAAACTATAAAAATTAGCCGGTGCACACCTATAATCCTAGCTACTCGGAAGACTGAGGCAGGAGAATCACTTGAATCTGGGAGGCGGAAGTTGCAATGAGTGGAGATTATGCCAATGTACTCTAGTGTAGGTGACAGAGCAAGACTTGGTCTCCAGAAAAAAAAGAAAGAAACTTATACTCAAGGAATTTTTTTTTTTTTTTTTGAGACAGGGTCTTGCTCTATTTCCCAGGCTGGAGTGCAGTGATGTGATCTTGGCTCACTGTAACCTCACCCCCAAGGGTTCAAGTGATCCTCCCACCTCTGCTTCCACAAGTGCTGGGATTACAGGCGTGAGCCATCGAGCCTGGTAGAAATTTTACTGTAATGATGTTTAACAACACATTAATATTAATGTGACTTTAGCACTAACAAGAATTGTATCAGGCTGGGCCTGGTGGCTCAAGCCTGTAATCCCAGCACTTTGGGAGGCCAAGGCGGGTGGATCACGAGGTCAAGAGATCGAGACCATCCTGGTCAACATAGTGAAACCCCATCTCTACTAAAAATACAAAAAATTAGCTGGGCATGATGGCGCACTCCTGTAATCCCAGCTACTTGGGAGGCTGAGGCAGGAGAATTGCCTGAGCCCAGGAGGCAGAGGTTGCGGTGAGCCGAGATCGCGCCATTGCACTCCAGCCTGGGTAACGAGAGCGAAACTCCATCCCAAAAAAAAAAAAAAAAGGAAGAAAAGAAAAGAAAGAAAAGAATTGTATCTAAGTTCCAAATATATTCTTTCTCTGTCCCCAATGTCAGCTTAATTTTTTTTCCATTACTTTTTGGATTAAACATCTATTTATTCCTTTTTTCTTTTTTTTTTTTTCCAGTTTGATAAATTGTTGCCACATGTTTGCTGTTTCTCTTTATAGCTTGCAAACCAGGCTGGAATTCCTCCCGGCGTCTACAATGTCATTCCCTGCTCTCGAAAAAATGCCAAGGAAGTAGGGGAGGTGATTTGTACTGATCCTCTGGTGTCCAAAATTTCCTTTACTGGTTCAACAACCACAGGAAAGGTATGTGGCTCAAGTCTCACAGAAAACAAATGTCTTTCTAATATTTTATCTTGATAGGTTACAAAAGTACTATTTCATCCCGATCACCAATTTTGGAAAGATTTCCAGCAGAGTATTAAAAGCTCTGTTGCAAGCCAGGCATAGTGGCTCACGCCGGTAATCCCAGCACTTTGGGAGGCTCAAGTGGGCAGATCACTAGAGGCCACGAGTTCAAGACCAGTCTGGCCAACATGGTGAAACCCCGTCTCTACAGAATATACAAAAATTAACCAGGCATGGTGGTGCACACCTGTAATCCCAGGTGCTCAGGTGGCTGAGGCATGAGAATCACTTGAACCTGGGAGGCAGAGGTTGCAGTGAGCCAAGTTTGCACCACTGCACTTTAGACTGAGTGACAGAGCAAGACTCTCAAAAAAAAAAAAGGTCTGTTGGTTGAATAAAGTACTATCTGACCATCCTCTGGAGACATTTTAGTTCTTTAGGGCATGACATAGGTTCCTGCTTGACGAAAACCAAAGAAATTGAGGCAGTGATGGTCCCATGATTTTTTGCATTATTTGTTGTATGGGAAGTGGCTGAAAGTTCTTTGTTATATTTTTTTCAATTCTGGAATGCATGTTTCTTTTAATGATCTAGAATTAGAGATTCTAGAAACACACAATTAATGTTGAAATGGATATTTCTGAATTGAACAAAAATTGTGTTTGGTCTAAAAGTACTTAGTGAAATGGAAAGGTTTTTTTCCTTAAATAATGAAATAGTTTTTTTTGTTTTGTTTTGTTTTTTTTTAATAAAGATGGGGTTTCACCATGATGGTCAGGCTGGTCTTGAACTTGTGACCTCAGGTGATCCACCCACCTCGGCCTCCCAAAGTGCTAGGATTACAGGTGTGAGCCACAGTGCCCGGCCATAATAAAATGTTCTTTCCTGAAGACTTAACATGTGTGCCTATAAGTAGATATTCATTTATTCTTTTAAATGTCCAAAAGAGAAGAAATCAAAGTCGAACAAAAGTTTTTGTTTATGGCATTTCTCTTCAGAAGGTGTGCTTTTTTCCTACTGGTTTATATATACACATACACATATATGTGTCTACTCATACTATCCAGCCGAGGCAAGAGGATGGCTTGAGCCCAAAGAGGTCGAAACCAACCTAGGCCACATGGTAAAGCCTTGTCTCTATAAAACGAAACAAAACAGCCAGGCTTGGTGGCACACACCTGTAGTCCCAGCTACTTGGGAGGCTGAGGTGAGAGGATCACCTGAGTCTGGGAGGTCAAGGCTGATCTCACCACTGCACTCCAGCCTGGGCAATATGTGTGAGACCCCATTTCAAAAAATAATAAAAGTTAAAAAGTCTAATTTCAAAGCTCTTGTGAATCTATGGTCATTTTAGAAACTGTGAGAAGCAGGAAGGAATCATGTAATTTTTTTTTTGAGACTGTTGCCCTGTCGCCTAGGCTGGAGTGCAGTGGTGTATTCTTGTCTCACTGTAACTTCCGCTTTCTGGGTTCAAATCATTCTTGTGCCTCAGCCTCTTGAATAGCTATGATTACAGGCATGTGCCACCATGCCTGGCTAATTTTCGTATTTTCTGTAGAGATGAGGTTTCACCATGTTGGCCAGGCTGGTCTGGAACTCCTGGCCTCAAGTGATCCTCCTTCCTCAACCTCCAAAAGTCCTGGGATTACAGGTGTGGGCCCCCGTACCCAGCTGGAATAATGCAATTTTAATGCCTCCGAACCATAATCACTTTTGTTATGAAACTCATACTCAGGGAGAAGCGCTTTGGAATCCTACCATTCATTCATATTAGAAGTAGGAAGATTTAGCCGGGCATGGTGGCTCACACCTGTAATACCAGCACTTTGGGAGGCCAAGGCAGGTGGATCACGAGATCAGAAAATCGAGACCATCCTGGCCAATATGGTGAAACCCTGTCTCTACTAAAAATACAAAAATTAGCTGGGTGTGGTGGCGTGTGCCTGTAATCCCAGCTATTTGGGAGGCTAAGGCAGGAGACTCGCTTGAGCCTGGGAGTCAGAGGTTGCAGTGAGCCAAGATCACGCCACTGTACTCCAGCCTGACAACAGAGCAAGACTTTGTCTCAAAAAAAAAAAAAACAAAAAAGAAGAGAAAGGAATTTGTAGGTCCATAAACTGCTATGCCCTTGATCAGTGGTTCTTACAATGCAAACTTACCCATAGAGGGATTCAAATGCTACTACGAAGTGGTTAGAAAAAAAGCGGAAGCCTGGGAGAAAGGGTTGTAAATCCTTCGTCGTTCAAGCCAGAGAAATCCTCAGGGTGCTGGGCAAAGGGGAGCAAGTCATCCATTGCTTTCCCTCAGTTTTCTCAGCAAACCATCCTTATTTAACAGGGCTCCAGGAAATACCACCCGTGTCCCTGCCAAGTCCGGCTTTGCTCCTCTTTACCCAGGACAGTGATGTACCTCAAGTGACTAAGTGGGAAACGTGACAAGTCTAGCTAAAAGGATAACTAATGCATATTGCAAGTGCCTCTGCTGAGCTGAGCTGGGCTTCACAGAAAGTAGTGGCTGAGCTCCTGGTCCTGGGGTGTAGAACCTTGCCTCGTAACTCAGGTACACACAGCGAGCCTGTTGAAGGGATGCCAGTCCTGCCATTGCCCCTTGCTAGCGGGGGCCACCCCTCCCAGGGCCCCACTGAGAGGACCGCAGCCATGTTGTAAAGCAGCTGATACCCCATTTCTTCCCCCTGTTCAGAGCACTGAACCGTGACTGGTCATTGACTTAAGCGAAACAGAAATTGTGGCTGTTTCTGTATTCCTGGCATAGAAAGTGAGCTGGGCCAGGGCCTTTTCCTCTCAGAAGTCCCCTCTCCACTAGAGAGAGAACTGTTTTCCATTTTTCTCCTTCTTTTGCCTATTAAACTTCTACTCCTAAACTCCAAAAAAAAAAAAAAAAAAAAAGATGGGCCAGGCCAATAAATCAATCACATGCTGTCTTTAGAAGCTGAGGCCCTGAGGAGATCAGCCCGTGGGAACTGGAGCTGAAAAGATGCATCAAGACATGACAGGAGTTCACACCATACCCCGTGGCCCGGGCAAGCCGCCCTCCTGGAAAAGCAGAGACTGAGTGGGGAGAGGACGCTGTCAGAGGACATGAGAGCCGGTGCAGGTGGAGGGGCAGACCCCAGAGACAGGACCTGTGCCCAAGGCCAGGTGGAAGCAAAAGGGAGTGACCCAGCAGGGTCACTGAAGCAAATCCTGGAAAATCAATGACGTTTCTTAAAATTTATCAAATAAAAACATAAAAAAACAAGATTTTTAAAAACAGTTACATTGCGTCCAATAAAGAAACATGTTTCATCTTAAAATTTGAATTACTTTGTTGAACAGTCATGTTTTAGAGAAGACTGTTACTACCATTTGACTCCTGAAATACTAACATAAGGGCATGGACAGGGTACCTGCACAGGCCCCGCCCTGTTACAGTACTCATGATGCCAGAGTGCACGTCACTTCGGGGACAATCTTAGAGCTACCTTGGGCTTGTCAACGCTGCCTGTTTCTTTTGAGTCATCTCAAGTATGGTCCCATCTTTCCTGAAGCCAGGACTAGACAAAGACCTACTATCCTAAATAAAGCACTTAAACATTCCTGTGCAGCTCCTTAGGCTGTGAAATCTCCTGCTGGATATTTAAACTGTAATAGCTATGTGTATCAAAAGCCTTACAGTTGTACACTGAGCTAGCAGTTCTAATGTTCACCCCGATAGAATCATCACAGTGTGCTGTTTAACAGCAAGGATGGAAACAACCTAAATGTGCAACAGCTGGGGCCTGGATGCATAAACGACAGAACAGCCATGCGGGGGAATATTATGCAAGCATCCAAAGGAATGTTCTAGGCTGGGGACAGTGGTTCACGCCTGTAATCCCAGCACTTTGGGAGGCTGAGGCAGCAGATCAGTTGAGGTCGGGAGTTCAAGACCAGCCTGGCCAACATAGCGAAACCTCATCCCTAATAAAAATACAAAAATTAGCCAGGTGGGGTGGCACATGCCTGTAATCCCAGCTACTCAGGATCCCAGGTACTCGGGAGGCTGAGGCAGAAGAATCGCTTGAACCCAGAAGGTGGAGGTTGCAGTAACCAGAGATTGTGCCACTGCACTCCAGTCTGGGCGACAGAGTGAGACTACATTTCAAACAATAATAATAAATAAGTAAAGTTCTAGAAACATGTGCTGACAAGAGGATCTTCACATTACAGTGTTACAGTAAAGGAGCAAGGCATAAAGTGCTATGAATTAACACAGACGTCCCAAATATGTGCTTCACTGGGAAGAAAAAGCAGGTGACAAACTGAATAATTATATAATTATACCATCCAGTTTTGTGGGTTTTTTTTTTAAATAAAATGTACATTAAAAAAAAAAGGGTAACCCGCATGGCTAAATTCTAAATGGATATACTTTAAAATGCTATCAGTGCAAGCTACGGGCTGTGGGATACTAGGTGATTTTATTACCTTATCTCTATGAGTTTTAAGCCCATCATATAATTGTTTTAAATAGATAATACACTTACTTCTATGGTTCAGAAATTAAGACAGTATTAATGTTTACTGTGGTAAGTCTCATCCTTTCCCCAACCCTAATTCCCCCCCCCTTTCTATAAGTAATGATTTTTAGTGTCTTGTCATCCCAGTGTTTCTTTTACTAATTTATTTATTTATTTAGTTTTTGAAGTGGAGTCTCACTATGTTGCCCAGGTTGGTCTGGAACTCCTGACCTCAAGTAATCCTCCCACCTTAGCCTCTTAAAGTGCTGGGATTTCAGGTACACACTGCCATACCCAGGCTCTTCCCAATGTTTCTTTATCAAATACAAACAAACATAAATTTATATTCTTATTTCTCCCTTTTCTTTTCTTCTCTTTTTTTTTTTTTTTTTTTTTTTTTGAGACGGAGTTTCGCTCTCATTACCCAGGCTGGAGTGCAATGGCGCGATCTCGGCTCACCGCAACCTCCGCCTCCTGGGTTCAGGCAATTCTCCTGCCTCAGCCTCCCGAGTAGCTGGGATTACAGGCATGCGCCACCATGCCCAGCTAATGTTTATATTTTTAGTAGAGACAGGGTTTCACCTTGTTGACCAGGATGGTCTCGATCTCTTGACCTCGTGATCCACCCGCCTCGGCTTCCCAAAGTGCTGGGATTACAGGCGTGAGCCACCACGCCCGGCCTTCTCCCTTTTCTTATGCAAAGACTTATCCCATGTACACTACTGTGCACCTTGCTTTTTTCACTCTTTGGTAATTTTTTTAAACAAAAGCTTAAGAGTTCTGGTAGCGGATTTCTGTGCTCACGGCATCTTCTCCTCTGCTCACAGGTCCTGTTGCACCATGCAGCAAACTCTGTGAAAAGGGTGTCCATGGAGCTGGGTGGCCTCGCTCCATTTATAGTATTTGACAGTGCCAACGTGGACCAGGCCGTGGCAGGGGCAATGGCATCTAAATTTAGGAACACTGGACAGGTGAGTCCTGGAGAGTATTTCAGGATGTGTGTTTGTGTGTGCGTGTGTGAGTGTGTATGTTTGTGAGAGTGTGTGTATGAGTGTGTATGTGTGTGCATGTGTATGTGTGTGCATGTGTTTGTGACTATGCATGTGTTTGTGTGTGCCTGTGAGTGTGTATGTGTGTGCATGTGTGTCTGTGCGCATGTATGTTTGAGTGTGCATGTGTGCGTGTGGTGTGCATGTTTGTGAGTGTGCATGTGTATGTTTGTGTGTGTGTATGTTTGTGAGTGTGCATGTGTGAGTGTGTGTTTGTGTGTGTGTGCATGTGTTTGTGAGTGTGTGCGTGTGTGCGTATGTTTGTGAGTGTGCATGTGTGTGTATGTTTGTGCATGTGTATGTGTGTGCATGTTTGTGAGTGCGTGTGTGTGTATGTTTGTGAGTGTGTGCATGTGTGAGTGTGTATGTTTGTGAGAGTGTGCGTGTATTACAAAGATCGCACCACCTCTGCTGCCTTGTATCCCAGAAGGAAACTTCTGGGTTCTTTCCATTATTCATTCTTTATTCATTGACTCAGCAAGTATTTAGTGTATGCCTTCCTTTCTTTTTAAACCAGGGACTATACTAGGCTCAGGGGCCTCCCAAAAGTAAAGTACAGTTCCTGGCTTCAAAGAGTTTTCTGAACAGCAGATACTCTGTAGTCAACTTGTTCTCTCTTTTCTTCTTTCCCCTGCCCTTTGAATCTGGTTACTTTTATAGTTTTCTCTCATTGATCTTTTCTCTATTGAATGATAAAATCATCTGCTCAGACACAGAACAGCCGTGAACAGCTGGGGTCTCTGAGGCCCACAGTGTTAAAGGAAAGAAGGTAAGAAAATGTGGGCCGGGCTCGGTGGCTCAAGCCTGTAATCCCAGCACTTTGGGAGGCCGAGGAGGGTGGATCATGAGGTCAAGAGATCGAGACCATCCTGGTCAACATGGTGAAACCCCGACTCTACTAAAAATACAAAAAAATCAGCTGGGCATGGTGGCACGCGCCTGTAATCCCAGCTACTCGGGAGGCTGAGGCAGGAGAATTGCCTGAACCCGGGAGGCGGAGGTTGCGGTGAGCCGAGATCGCGCCATTGCACTCCAGCCTGGGTAACAAGAGTGAAACTCTGTCTCAAAAAAAAAAGAAAAAGAAAATGTGGAGGGTGGTGGCAGGGAAAACTCAAAACCCTGCTGCCTGCTACGACCTAGCGGGGCCTCACTCTCGAGATGGAGGGAGCATCAAAGGTGCCCTCCACAGGGACAGGCCCATGCCAGCAATGTTTCTGAGGGGTTCTGATTTCCCAGCCTGTCCTGGGGGACCAGAGGCCTGAGCTCATGTCTTCGTAGGAAATCCTGGAATATTTGATCTATCCAGGACCTTCACAGTTATCTGCTCTACAGACGTTGCATTTTACAGATAAGGAAATGAAACTCTAGAAAGAAAAAGTGACTTGAGTTCAGACATCCCTGGGCAGAGTCTCAACTCTGCTGAGGAGCTGGGACTCTGAGCCAAGGGTCCCATGTTCCGCTTCTAGGATCTTGCCTTCTTAAATATGCTTCAGCATTTCATCTTAAGGGTGCCACCAGTATGCAATTTTAAATGCATTCTAGAAACAGAGTAAATGCCCCTGAAAGGTCATGTTGTAAAAAAGTTATGAAATGTGTGATATTCTCTATCAAATGATTGTCATCCTTGCTTTGGCCTTTGGTAATGACGTTTTTCCCTTTCACATAACCTAAGTAAGCTTGGTTTTGTCAGAAATAGGTGTATTTTCCTTCATAAACGCAAAGTGCCAGTATGTGTTCCCATCAGTTACACTATAAGGCTACATACAGCTTAGGGATAGGATGGTGGCTCACAGCTGTAATCCCAAGACAGGAGGATCACTTGAGCCCAGGAGTTGGAGACCAGCCTGGGCAACAGAGTGAGACTCTGTCTCTACAAATTTTTTTTTTGAGACAGAGTCTTCCTCTGTTGCCCAGGCTGTAGTGCAGTGGTGCGATCTCAGCTCACTGCAACCTCCACCTCCCAGGTTCAAGAGATCCTCCTGCCTCAGCCCCCCAAATAACTGGGATACAGATGTGTACCATCACACCCAGCTAATTTTTGTGTTTTTAGTAGAGACAGGTTTCGCTGTGTCGGCCAGGCTAGTCTTGAACTCCTGACCTCAGGTGATCCACCCACCAGCCTCCCAAAGAGCTGATTACAGGAATGAGCCACCGTGTGCAGCCAAAAAAAATTTAAAATTTAACTGGGCCTGGTGGCAAGTGCCTGTAGTCCCACGTACTTGGACTCTCTTGAGCCTTGGAGGTCAAGGCTACAGTGAAGTCACCACTACTGCACTCCAGCCTGGGCAACAAACTGAGACACTGTCTCAAGAAAAGAAAAGAAAAGAACGTAAGTCGGTATTGGACCATCTTCCTCTTGCCCTCTGCTGTAGCGTCACAGTCTCCCAGGAGAACCGCATTCTTCCCCCTTCCCTCCCCAACCCGCCATTTGTTTTATAATGGCTTATTGAAGCCATTTGAAACAAACATGGATTGGGCGGCTTTTTTCCTTTTTTTTTTTTTTTTGGACGTACAGGTACTTAGTGCCATCTAATCACAGGAGCGTAGCAGCTGTGGAGGGAACGGCAGAGGAACATGTGCTGACTCAGTGCTTTTATCTTTGGGGCCAAGCCCACGTGCGGAGGAAAATGGCAGGTTGCACACAGGGAGCCACAGGGGGAAGTGTTTCACCGGAGGCAGCTTCTGACAAACTGTGTGGGTGTGTTTTTGTCTCCTGTCTAGACTTGTGTTTGCTCAAACCGATTCTTGGTGCAAAGGGGCATCCATGATGCCTTTGTAAAGGCATTTGCCGAGGCCATGAAGAAGAACCTGCGTGTAGGTAATGGATTCGAGGAGGGAACTACCCAGGGCCCGTTAATTAATGAAAAAGCGGTGGAAAAGGTAAGTTTACTGTATTATTTGTTAAAGTAAATTTCATGGTTTCAGAATCAAATGCTTCATCAGCAAGAAACACTTTGGCTGGAGCGCATGGTGATAGATACAGAGGGATGGGTTGACAGAATGTTACAGCCAGACAGGAGGAATAAGCTCTGGTGTTCTCTAGCACTGTAGGGTGCCTGTAATTAGCAACAATGTATTGTGTATTTTCAAATAGCTATTATTAGAAGAGTGGATTTTGAAGGTTTCCAGTACAAATAAATGATCAATATTTGAGGCGACAGATGTGCTAACTACCCTGATTTGGTCATCACGTATTGTATACATGAATCAAAGTATCACACCATACTCCCCAGATAACGTCCAATTATAAACTGTCAATTAAAATTAATAACAGCTAAAAAATAAATGATGTTGAAAGGCAAAAAAGTGAAAATAAATTTTAAAGAAAGCACAAAGTATGAGAGATCTACATCTATACATGGAGCAGATGGAGTTTTCAACTATATTTTCATTAAAAAACTACAAGTTCAAAATAAGTTAAAAAATAGTAACAGCTAAGAGAAATGATGTTGCAAAGGAAAAAAAAACTGAAAACAAAAAAGTCATTTTGGTAAAGTGCCCAGCAATCCTATTTGGAAAACAGTGGAGAAACCGGGAAAAGTGAATTCCTGCCTCCCAGTTCATGAATCGCGGGCGTCGTCTGGTCATGAGCTGCTGGAGCCCCGCCATCACACCCAGTCTGCCTGCAGTCTGTCACCGCAGGTCTTTACTGCCCTCCGTAAATTTCGTTACAGTGGCGGTAATTCTACCTTCACTGCCTCAGCAAGTAGGATCTTGAGACAAAGTTTATTCCTCTTTTGGAACAGCTATGGAACGGCAGACTGGCTTGGTTTTGAGACAGTTTGCATTTCAGCTACAATTCTGACGCCCTGTTCTTTCTTCTCTTGATGAAAAAAATCCAAGTCAAGAACACTCCTTGGTGAAAGCATCCCAGCCAGGGGCGCAGAATCGCAGATGCCATGTTCAGGATTTAGAGATGCTGAAGGGAAACTTTTTAAGAAGAATTTGTTTATTTTAAAAAAGTTCTAATCCACAGTACTGGCTATATGAGACTTCTCTCCTTATTCTACTATTTAAAAAATCCTTTCTGGAGTGACAAGGATTTTTTTTGAGATGGAGTTTCGCTCTTGTTACCCAGGCTGGAGTGCAACGGCGCGATCTCGGCTCACCGCAACCTCCACCTCCTGGGTTCAGGCAATTCTCCTGCCTCAGCCTCCCGAGTAGCTGGGCTTACAGGCACGCGCCACCATGCCCAGCTAATTTTTTGTATTTTTAGTAGAGACGGGGTTTCACCATGTTGACCAGGATGGTCTCGATCTCTTGACCTTGTGATCCACCCGCCTCGGCCTCCCAAAGTGCTGGGAATACAGGCTTGAGCCACCGCACCCGGCCATGCATTGGCATTTTTTAGGTGCCCAGGATGATGCTGGTTTGCAGCCGGGCTGGGAAACCATTCTGTCTTGGGAGATGTTTTCCTGACGGGAAGATACAGACGTTGCCCTCCAGATGGTGCCACGTGCCAGGACTTCAAACAAGCAAACCGTGAGATCTCTCTTTTTGCTGGAAAGAAGTTTGGTGGAAACTACCTTGTTTAAAACAGTTCATTGTGTTGGCTTTAGTGTACATACTGTCATAGAGTGGGTTCCAGGAAAAGAAAAAAACCTGCACTTCACATTAATATGACAAGAAAAGGGCAGAGCAGATTATATCGGGGGACCAAAAGGGTAGACCCCTGTTACACAGAATTATTTCTAAAATATAAAATTCACAGGAGTAAGCCATCCCAGCTAATGGGGATTACTTGCAGATGATGCATCAGCAGGGCGTGGTCCTAAAAGAGTGAGTCTCAGAGGCAATACATCCATGCCTCTATTTACCTTTCAGAACTCCTATAGAAAATTCAGCTGAAAGCCGGGCTTTCACTGGTGGTTCACACCTGTAATCCCAGCATTTGGGAGACTGAGGTGGGTGGATCACTGGAGGTCAGGAGTGAAACTCCACCCCTACAAAAAAGAAAAAGTAGAAAAATTAGCCAGACGTGGTGGCAAGCACCTGTAGTCCCAGCTACTCAGGAGGCTGAGGCAAGAGAACTGCCTGAACCCAGGTGGTGGAGGTTGCAGTGAGCTGAGATCGCGCCAGTGTACTTCAGCCTGAGTGACAAAGTGAGTCTTCATCTCAAAAACAAAAAAAAACAGGAAAGTCAGCTGAAAATGGAAGGGAAAACAACTCCAGTGAACCAAAGACTGTAATGAACTTCTGGAACTCAGAAGTGATTGTGCTAATAGAAGTCAAAATAGATGGGTCTACCCAGCGGGACCCTGCAGAGGAAGTTAGTGCCATTTTAAATGACAGACCGTTTCTAGATCCTTTCTAGAATTGGTAGGTATAGAAAATAGGGATAGGAGGAGGGGAGGAGATGAAGCTGGTTGATTCTACTTCTGCACAAGTCTCTGGGTCCTTCCCACCATCCCTCCCTACCACTACTACCACCAAGACAGCAGAGGCATTTTTTTTCTGGGCAGGACAGTGTTTCTGAGGAAATACTGTCTTCCTTTGGGGAAGGGAGCTGCTCTTACGTGAAGCCTGTAAGTTAGAATAAACCCAAACTTAAAACAGAAAGACCACTCATGCCACACATCCTCAAATTGATCAACCCAGTTCTTTTGTGTGTGTGTGTGTGTGTGCCCCAAACACACTGCTGGGGCTGGGGGGCGGGGGGGGGGGGAGTTGACCACATTAGTTTGGACAGCTCAGTCCTTCATTCAGAAAGATGAACAAGCAGGGATTGCGCTGCGAAAACCATCAGCACCTGAGAGGAAGGGGCAGGAGGAGCAAACACAGCAGTCCCTGAGGGAAGCAGACGAACAGGGAACTGGAAGGACTTTTCTAAGAATCTCATCGTGTCCTACGGGAGTTTTGAGAACACAGAACACGTGTACACTGTTGGGAAGAAGGAAGTTCTAGGAAGTGAAGCAATGAAAACAAAGTCTGTAGAAATTAGACACGACTGTCACAAGATTTGGTAGCTGAAGATAGATAATAAAATGTAGGCAATCTCATGGAGTTTAGAGCAAATGATAGAGAGGCAAAAAATAGAAATGCCAAAAAATCAGAACTAATCCAAACTACCAATACCTGTCACAGTGGTAGGAGTTTTAGAATAAAATCATTGAGAAGATGGAGGAAGTGACATTACCAAGTAAATTATGGATGGAAACTTCTCAGAATTCGGGGAAAATAATTATTCTGCAGATTGAAAGATTTCACCGATTACCATGTAGGATGAATGAAAAGGGAAATATATATATATATATATATATATATATATATATATATATATATATAATTTTAACTATATATATACACACACATACACACACACACACACACACACACACACACACACACACATATAAAATCTCCTAGGATCTTCCGTGCTCTCATAGTCTGGAGTTTTAGCTCTATAGCTATCACATAAAAGGGTGAGGAAAAAGCTACCGCATAAAGGGAGAGAACCACTTTTGGCTCAGATGTCATCGGCAGCATAGGAGGGAGAAGTGCACTCTGGGTGCTGAAGGGAAGTTATTTCGGATCAGAATTCTGTAGTCAAGCGAATTATCAGTCAGGTGCAGTACAAGATAAACATCAGACACTTGGCAGACGAAAATTCAGAAACTAGACCACACTGAGCGCATCTTTTGTAAAACAACTACTTGAGGAGAATGTGTGTGTCAGAAAGCCGTCAACGCTCAGTTCAGGAGAGAGGACTACATGGCATGCCAGAAGGTGGAAATCACGCAGAATGCAATGGGAGCAAATCCGGGAAACAGCTGAGCCGCAGGCATAGAAAGAAGTGAATAGACATCAGACCACTCAACACACAGGAAGATCAAACAGAGAAGAGATCACAGAGCAAGGATGGAGGTGGCGCTCTTGCTTCTGAATCTCTGCAAACGCTGTTCCTTCTACAACAGGAAACCACTATGCTTTACTTTTAACCTTCTTTTAAAGAAACAAGATAGAACTAGTTGTCGTTTTCTGCAGTTTAAATGTTCTAAAAGATGGTATCATGTGGAAAGCTGTTTTTCTTCCTCACCACGCAGGTGGAGAAACAGGTGAATGATGCTGTTTGTAAAGGGGCCACCATCGTGACAGGCGGAAAACGACACCAACTTGGAAAAAACTTCTTTGAGCCCACCCTGCTCAGCAATGTCACCCAGGACATGCTGTGCTCTCACGAAGAGACTTTTGGGCCTCTGGCACCCGTTATCAAGTAAGATCCTCCAGCCAGCGGGGAGATGGGAGGAAGAATAGAACAGAGGAGGGGAAACTCTGAAAGAGATTCCCGTGCTGCTTTGAGGGGTGGCCAGGAGGCAGACAGCTGTGTTGAGTCCATTGAAGAGCAAAGTGCAATTTATTCGGTTTTTTAAAATCCTAACTTATTTGAACCAACAATTTATCAGATTCCTTTTTTTTTTTTTTTTAATTTGAGACACAGTTTCGTCTGTGGCCCAGGCTGCAGTTCAGTGGTGCAATCTTGGCTCACTGCAACCTCCGCTTCCCAGGTTCAAGTGATTTTCCGGCAACAACCTCCTGAGTAACTGGGATTACAGGCACGCACCACCATGGCCAGCTAATCTTTGTATTTTTAGTAGAGCTGGGGTTTCACCAAGTTAGCCAGGATGGTCTCGAACTCCTGACCTCAGGTGATACACCCACCTCAGCCTCCCAAAGTTCTGAGATTACAGGCGTGAACCACCAGCCCAGACCTGAACTCATTTTTCTTCTTAATGTATTACACCTCAAAGGGTTATTTCACTGGCGTCAATAGAAAATGAACCTTCTGTGCCCTTTCGTTGTCTTTTGTCTCCCATTTCACAAGTAGATAATAATTTAACCTGGACAAAATTCTAGGTTCAACCCTTCAGAGATATTACTCCTTTACTCGTTTTTTTGCATTTTTTTTAGATGGAGTCTAACTGTCACCCAGGCTGGAGTGCAGTAGCACAATCTCGACTCACTGCAACCTCCGCCTCTCGGGTTCAAGTGATTCTCTTGCCTCAGCCTTCTGAGTAGTTGGGACTACAGGTGCACACCACCACACCCGGCTACTTTTTATATTTTTAGTAGAGAGCAGGTTTCACCATGTTGGCCAGGCTGGCCTCAAACTCCTGACCTCAAGTGATCCGACTGCCCCAGCCTCCCAAAGCGCTGGAGTCACAGGTGTGAGTTACCACACTCGGCCTCCTAATCTATTTTATCCAGGGTTGTTGCCAAGAAACCTGATTCTTGCTTCTTCGAAAGGGATCTACTTTTTCTGTCTAGAAATGATGAGAATTTCTCTCGAACTTTGATACTCTTACATTTTACTGTCTGGTATGGCGCAGTGACGTTTCTCAGTTGAGGTCCTGATGTCGTTAATATGGTTGTTTTGTTCTTGTTGCTGCTGTTTTGAGATGGAGTCTTGCTCTGTCACCCAGGCTGGAGTGCAGTGGTGCGATCTCGGCTCACTGCAGCCTCTGCCACCTGAGTTTCTCTCTCCTCTGGCATGTCCAGCATTGGATTCAGAGACAGCGGGCTGCTGCTGCTGTCCATACCATCTTACCCAGGACCAGAAATCTTTCTTATTATGTATTTCATTCGCCTTGTTACATCTTGCTTATGAAGTTTATTTTTTATTCCACTACTGGGGAAATGGACCACTTGAAGAACATTCATCTTCTTTAATAAAAACTTTTTACCAAAAATGCGAACTGGACGTTTTAACAGGACTGAAGGGACACACTGGTTGGGAATGCAGGCTTTGGAGTGATGTGATGTGACTGTACACTTTGCTGCTTCATGCCTGTGTGGCCTTGGACAGGCTGACTTTCCCGTGCCGGCTCTGCCCAGCCCCTCTTTGCAAGCCCTGCAGAGAGACAGCCGCTTCCTCTACTAGTAGATCTCCGAATTTGGAAATTGGCGTGCTTAGAACTTTCTGCCCCCAGTTACGATTCTGGAACAACAGAAAAATGCCACTGACATCTTATTCCTGAAATTAAGATTTTAAAGCTAGAAGGGATCGCACGGGCTTTGGTGCAGTCCCTCCTTTCAGAGAGGAGACTCCCAAGCGTCATGACATTGTTGAGTGGTGGAGGACACATCAGAGCCTGGCCCCAGCCTCTTCTGAACATTTTCCTTCTGCAACACCAGGCTGGCTTCTGAAGTCGTCATTACAATTTTTTTTTTTTTTTTTTTTTTTTTTTTTTTTTTTTGAGACAGAGTCTCACTCTGTCACCCAGGCTGGAGTGCAGTGGTGCAATCTCGGCTCACCGCAACCTCCTGCCTCAGCCTCCCGAGTAGCTGGGATTACAGGCATGTGCCACCACGCCCAGCTAATTTTCTATTTTTAGTAGAGACAGGGCTTCTCTATGTTGGTCAGGCTGGTCTCAAAGCCCTGACCTCAGGTGATCCACCCACACTGGCCTCCCAGAGTGCTGGGATTACAGGGGTGAGCCACTGCACTAGGTCAGTAATCCTACTTTTGTTTAAAGGGATTTTGTTTGGTGTTCTGGTTGTCTCACAGTTACCTGCATGTTGGTCGGCTTTTGTCTTGTTCTCTTAGGAGCCAGTGTTGATTTGAGCAGGACAGCCCTGATCACTGACTTATCTCGGGGAATGGGGTTGCTTTTTTCTGCAATCTGCTCTTGGATCTCTTTGCAAAACTCTGATTTACTCCTTGTGATTATTTGGGAAACAAATCAGAAGAAAAGAAAACTGGCTTCCTTTCCTCTCCCCCTCACATATTTTATGCCCTATCTTAACTTTGGCAGATTCGATACAGAGGAGGAGGCTATTGCAATCGCCAACGCAGCTGATGTTGGGTTAGCAGGTAGGTGTTTGTCCTTGTCAACAACAGTCATAATTATTTTTCTCAAGCTCTTGCCAGATGTACCTTTTAAACCTCACCCTGGGTTTTGAGACAGAAGCTTCAATGAAGCATGTGTTTTGTTGCTTTCCAAGTGGCAGAATGGATTTGGATGTGTGCAGGTACCTGTTCGTTTGCCTTGACCCCATGATACCCATTTGGGGGCTCTCTAATTACAGTGTGGCCAGGGAGAGCTGTGGGGAGGAGAGAAGGCACACATTGTTCTACTTTTCTAGGTGAAGAACTGCACACATCTCAAAGTTCCATGTTCTCAGAGACTTAATGCCCAAAAATTCCAAGTGCCTTTTCTTCCCTTTTGCCTGGCTCCTTTAAGCCTGACAGAAGAGGAAGGGCATCAGCACAGAGCATCAGGGATAGTGAAAGGGGTGAAGATGGTGTTTGCAGCGGTGCCTCACTGCTGGCTCCCATTCCTGTAGTTTGGAGATGGTCCAGGTGGCCACTGCATGTACTCTGTAACCCTGAGAAAATTATGTCGTAGCATCCACAGCAGGCGAAGTACTGCAGAAAATACAAACACAAGATACCACTACAGCTCTACAGAAGCTTCTCTAGCTGTAAAAGAACCACTTATACCAAGAGGAACGATAAGCATGCCATGGGGCCCCACAGAGTTATCATAAAGCTGGAGTAAGATGTGTGCACAAGGACTTGTAACCCTCAGTTCAACGTTTGTCTCTTCCTTCTCAATGGGAGGATGGTGGAGGAAGACGTACCCTCAACTAGGTTATAAATGATGGGCAGGATTCTGGTTGTGCAGAAATTGTAGGAGAGAGATTCTGGGCAGAGGGCACCAAGGGAGTTCAGAAGCAAGGTAAAAAGGGTGAGGAGGATCTGGCCGACAGGTGTGGAGAGGACGGCTGGTGACTGCAGTAATGGAAGGTGATGCCAGAAATGTTGGGTGAAACTCTTGGTGGGGAGAGGGTGTTGAATACCTGCTGAGGAATCTAACCTTATTTTATAATCAGGAGTCATAGCAAAAGGCTTGGGCAAAAATGTCACGTGGGAGGAAATCGAACGTGTGCAGAGTGGACGGAATAGTAGAAAACAGGAAGAAGGTTTTGATAGGAAATCGTGAGAGTACAGTTGAAGCAAGAGGTGACATTCAAAGGTTTTGACGTGAAGAAGTGGACAAGACCCCCTGGGATTTTATATGGGAGCAGGGAAGATTCTCGGCCCCGGTGATGGGACGGAGTCATCAGGGGTGCCCTCATGTTTGGCCATGTTATCGTTAGTGACTACTCTAAATGCCGTTCACGTCTTTTATCCCGATGCCAGGCTATTTTTACTCTCAGGACCCAGCCCAGATCTGGAGAGTGGCAGAGCAGCTGGAAGTGGGCATGGTTGGCGTCAACGAGGGACTGATTTCCTCCGTGGAATGCCCTTTCGGTGGAGTGAAGCAGTCTGGGCTTGGGCGAGAGGGGTCTAAGTACGGTATCGATGAGTACCTGGAACTCAAGTATGTGTGTTACGGGGGCTTGTAGGATTCTTTGGTTCTTTAAAAAAAGTTCAAAGGAGGCTTACCTACATACATAGGTACGTGCCATCCGTTATTTTAAACGAAGTAGTAGGTTTTCAGAGTTGTGAATTTTTCAAAACTCATCCAGTCCTCGTAATCTTACCCCTGCCCTTAACCTAACTAGGGACCAAGACGTGCCACGTGCCTGTGGCTGCAGACTTCAGGAGAACCAGCACTGGGTGTACAGAATGAGACCCTGGCTCCCCAGTGCGGCCTGGGCTGCCTGAGAGTAGGCACAGCGAGGGCAGAACAGCCCCTCCGCCGTCACAAAGGCTTGATCACTGCCTGGGCAGTGGCACAGTTATCCCCCACGTGGCTACAGAATATGGGCCCAGAGCAACTTGAAGGAGACCCTTGCCTGTGACTGGCAGGCAGGTGGGAGGCACAGCACCCCTCCCCGGCATCTGCCAGCTCAGCACCTAAGACAGAGAAGCGCATTGCGGGTGTTGTGGCAGTTTTGACTAAGCCATCTTTCAAAGACAGTAAATGGTATGGAATTGTCTGTGCTTCTGAGAGACATGAAGGAGCACCTCTCCCTATTCCTGAACCAGTTTTTTACTTGACGTCTTTATTATCCTAAATTTACTGCTGAATTCTATTTTCATTTCTGTCCCCTTTGCCACTTCGTTTCCCTTCCTTAAGGACGTGAGCTCAAGTGAAAAGCAAAGAATAGCAGGAGCCGCTCTACGGGATGGAAGGGAGGCATGCAGGGGCGCGGCCTGCGGGATGGAAGGGAGGCATACAGGGGCTTGTCACCTGGGGCCTGTGTGCAGCACCTTCCGCCCCACGCGTACAGTGGAGGTTCTGTACAGACCTTACTTAGCTCCCTTCGATATTGTGAGCCAGAGAGAAAGTAAAAGTACCGCTCAAAAAAGTGAAAATTCTAAGGATGTACAAGAGCCATTGTTATGAGCAGCACTGCCCAGCCCTTTTTTGCTTACTGGCAATGGCTTTGCCAAGATGGGAGGAGGCTGATGCCCACCTGCCCACCCACCTGTGCCTGAATAAATGGCTTTCACCTGCAGCCTGTTCCTTCCGTCCTGGTGTGGTGCTGCTCCCTCACCTCCAAAAGAGCAAAAAGCACTGTCACCACAGTCAGCTCACAAGGGAAAGAATTTCTGTAACTGTCAGTGCAGTTTGTAGCAGGGCACAAGCCCCTGAATTTCAGGCACCTTTGATCTAGCAAGAGTTTTTACAGCTCATCATTCAAATAGCACACAAGAAACAAAAGCCCCTGTGACTGGTGTTGCCTCTCACGTTGAACGAAAGACTCTGTAATCTTAAACAGATGTAAATCCAATTAAGAAAACTCTAAGCTCTTCTAGACATGCCTCTTAGCCACATAAGAATAAAGGTAATTCCTGGCCAGGTAGGTAGGTGGAGATGAAGCACCTCCCTTTCCCCATCTTTGTCTGTGTAGACTCCACGTACGTCCTCTGGTTATTCTGGGTCGTAAAAGGAAAATGTGAATGAAAGTAGAGCTAGATGCAGTTACTCCTGACCTGCACCTAGGATTTAACATCCCTCGCTGAGCCACCGGGAAGCTGTGGTTGAGTAAAGGTCTGGCAAGTCCCTGCGCACACAGGGAGCCGCGTGGCACCTGGCCTGGGGTGTACCAGCCACCTCCCCAAGGAGAAGCAAGAGCTGAAATTCCTCTCCTCGTGGCAAGGCCCTGGCCTGTCAAGATCACATACTCAGTCAGCATTTTGCTCTTTATTTGTAGAGTTTTTCGGTGGTTTTATATAACATTCTAATTACTTATGATTTAGGTATATCCATCCTTTTTCTATTAAGAATACAAATGCTCCAATGTTATTTTCTGTAAGTCTGGATTACTAACGCTGAGCTGTGTGCAGGAATACTTCCTAATTCATTTTTAACAGTGTAAGCTAGTAGATTCTTTAGTCGGGTGGCAGATTTTGAGTCTGCCTGCATGTTTGGCTCAGGGGTTCATAAATTGAGGGCCAGGGACTCATTGTAATCTCCTTGTCCATTTTGTAATTAGAGGAACTAGCTTATTGTTTAGTAAAATGGTCCCTGTTTGTGGGAAGCAGGGGAAGTGTTTTTAACTGAACATTTTGTTGTTTTTTAAAGTGCCCATACGTGATGGGATTTATAAATAAATATATTGCACAACATGGACTAGAAAAGAACCATCAGATCAGGGGTGGGCAAACTATGGCCCACAAAGCAGATCTGGCCTGACACCTGTTTTTTTGTACAACCCGTGAGCTAAGATTGGTTTAAATGTTTTCAAATGATTGTGCAGAAAATCAAAAGAAGAACAATATTTCATGGCACCTGAAAATCCTATGGAGTTCAGATTTCAGTGTGCATTAGCCACGGCTCTTCATTCACGGTGCGGGCCGGGCCTGCTTTCTTGGCAGAGTTGAATCTGTTGGGAGAAGGACAGTATAGCCTGCAAAGCCTCTAATGTTTACTGCTCGTCTCCTTAAAGAAAACATGTGTCCGCTCCTGATCCAGACCAGGAGGGAGATAGACCTTTCTTGCGTTTATCAGGCGTTATTTCATTTTACTGGACACCTCCTGTGAAGAAGGTACTTTTCCAGCATTGCTTCCACGAATTCCCAGAGGAACCTCCCAGCAACGATAACGCAGATGAAATTAGCCGCATAACAAGAGTCTATTGGCCTTGAAAAAACAGTTCCCCTTGAACTTCCTCCAGCTATGCTGGGATTCTCATTAAAGAGCTGATCTGCTTCTGTTTATCCATTTCAGTGGCTTTTAAATACGATTTTAAGTGAAGTGCTGTTTGTTTATTCTACTAAAGAGACGCGGCAGAAGCAAAAATCAGAAGCAAATGTGAGCAAATCTGCTTTACTGTTAACTTCAGTTACACACTTGAAGTTGTGCCACATGACTTCTTCCTCTAAAGACAGGAGCCTAGTGTTTTAATCACCCATGTGCAGCTATTTTAAGTCGCATTTTACTTGAATAATACTGACGCTGTCATTGTTCCATGCCGTACTTTGTGGGATAAAAATTAGGAATGAGTATGGTGAGGTATTTATAAAGTTTTGCTTTTTAAACATGTGGACGTAACCTATTTTTCTAGTTTCTGACAATTGTGTGTTGCAGTGTCTAGCCTGCAGACAGAGTGGAGTGTGCAGATAATAAATGTTGTATGAACAAACTTTCCTCTCCCGGTGTTAAGGTCTCTGGCTGTGCTTTTTCTCCCTGCTTGGTGATCGTGTGAGTTTTTACTGGATGATATTACACCAGTTTGCATTTGTGTAAATAGCACTTCCTCCCCAGAGAGCCATCATCAGTCAGTCCCTCCGGGAAGGAGCTGAGCCGTCATCAGTCAGTCCCTCGGGGAAGGAGCTGAGCCGTCATCAGTCAGTCCCTCAGGGAAGGAGCTGGCATGTGAAACTATGAACCCAGAACCCAGAGAAGGGCCTGTCCACGGTATGTGCTCATAGAATGCTTGCTAAGCTGAACCAAGAATTTACCCAGTTGCAGAGGTGGCGGTCACAGAAAGGGGTCTAGTCCAGCCATCCAGCTGTCACAGATTGGCCTATCTCTCTCTCGTACATGCTCCACTGTTATCCATTATATACCTTTTTTTAATCTGTTTTTTTTTGTTTGTTTCTTTGTTTGTGTTGGTCTTTGAGATGGAGCATCACTGTGTCGCCCAGGCTGGAGTGCAGGGACACGATCTTGGCTCACTGCAACCTCTGCTTTCCAGGTTTAAGCAATTCTTCTGCCTCAGCCTCCTGAGAAGCTGGGATTACAGGTGTCTACCACCATGCCAGGCTAATTTTTGTATTTTTAGCAGAGATGGGGTTTGGCCACGTTGGCCAGGCTGGTCTCAAACTTCTGACCTCAAGTGATCCACCCACCTTGGCCTCCCAGAGTGCTGGGATTACAGGTGTGAGCCACCACACCCAGCCTGTGTTTTTAAAGTATAGAAAAGTATGAGGGAGAAACTTTCTGAAACCCTGCTATCCAGATATAATCACTGTTCATTATTTTAGCAATATGTATTTTTATCCAGCGTTCATTTATATTTTAAGGAATTTCATGTGAGGCCAGGCACAGTGGCTTACACCTGTAATCTCAACACTTTGGGAGGCGAAGCCGGGCAGATCACTTGAGGCCAGGAGTTTGACACCAACCTGGCCAACATGGTGAAACCCCATCTCCACTAAAAATACAAAAAAATTAGCCAGACATGGTGGTGCATGCCTGTAATCCCAGCTACTCAGGAGACTGAGGCAGGAGAATCACTTGGACACAGTAGGTGGAGGTTGCAGTGAGCCAAAATCTCACCACTGCAGTCCAGCCTGGGTGGCAGGGTAAGATTCTGTCTCAAAAAAAAAAAAACCCAAAAAAGGAAATTTCATGTGGCCTCACTGAACCTCAAATTGTATCAGGAAGCCTTTAACAAAGGTAGGATCTTCACCAGAAGAAAGAACGGTGTCACTAGACACACGTTTCCTTTTGTTAGTCCATTTATTTTATGTATTTCTTTTATCCTGCTTTTGACTTTTAAAATTATTTTGTTACCAGGAGAAACTATCCAGTTACTTCTCTATGTGTGGGTTTTTTACATGCTAGACCTAAGCCTCTGCTTAGAGGGAAATGTATGGTCATCTTCCTCGTATTTCTTTCACTAATTATCATTACATATTCACTTGTTATAGCTTCTTCATCTCCCATTTAGCTTACAACACATTAAAAAGCAAATTAGTGTGTTTTTTAAATCAAGTATGGGAAATCTGTAATCCATCACATAAACAGAACCACATGATTATCTCAACAGATGCACAAAAGGCCTTTGACAAAATTCAACAGCCCTTCATGCTAAAAACTCTCAATAAACTAGGTGTTGATAGAAAATATCTCAAACTAATAAGGGCTATTTATGACAAATCCACAGCCAATATCATACTGAATGGGCAAAAGCGGGAAGCATTTCCTTTGAAAACCAGCACAAGACAAGGATACCCTCTCTCACCACTCCTATTCAACATAGTATTGGAAGTTCTGGCCAGGGCAATCAGGCAAGATAAAGAAATAAAGAGCATTCAGTTAGGAAAAGAGGAAGTCAAATTGTCTCTATTTGTAGATGACATGATTTTATATTTCGAAGACCCCATCATCTCAGCCCCAAATCTCCTTAACCTGATAAGCAACTTCAGCAAAGTCTCAGGATACAAAATCAATGTGTAAAAATCACAAGCATTCCTGTACACCAATGACAGAGAGCCAAATCATGAGTGAACTCCCATTCACAATTGCTACAAAAAGAATAAAATAGGAATACAACTAACAAGGGATGTGAAGGACCTCTTCGAGAAATACAAACCACTGCTCAAGGAAACAAGAGAGAACACAAACAGATGGAGAAACATTCCCCACTTATTGTTAGGAAGGATCACTATCATGAAAATGGCCAGACTGCCCAAAGTAACATAGATTCAATGCTATCCCTATTAAGCTACCATTGACTTTCTTCACGGAATTGGAAAAAACCACCTTAAACTTCATATAGAACCATAAACGAGCCCACATAGCCAAGACAGTCATAAGCAAAAAGAAACAAAGCTGGAGGCAGCATGCTACCTGACTTAAACTATACTACAAGGCTACAGTAACCAAAACAGCACAGTACTGGTACCAAAACAGAGATACAGATCAATGAAACAGAACAGAGGCCTCAGAAATAATGCCACATACCTACAACCATCTGATCTTTGACAGACCCGGCAGAAACAAGCAATGGGGAAAGGATTCCCTATTTAATAAATGGTGTCGGAAAAACTGGCTAGCCATATGCAGAAAGCTGAAACTGGATCCTTTCCTTACACCTTATTCAAAAATTAACTCTAGATGGAGTAAAGATTTAAACAGAAGACCTAATACCATAAAAACCCTAGAAGAAAACCTAGGAATACCATTCAGTACATAGGCACTGGTAAGGACTTCATGACTAACACACCAAAAGCAATGGCAACAAAATTTAAAATAGACAAATGGGATTAAACTAAAGAACTTCTCTACAGCAAAAGAAACTATCATTAGAGTGAACTGGCAACCAACAGAGTGGGAAAAAATTTTTGCAATCTACCCATCTGACAAAGGGCTAATATCCAGAATCTACAAAGAACTTCAATTTACAAGAAAAAAAAACAACCTCATCAAAAAGTGGGCAAAGGATATGAACACTTCTCAAAGGAAGATATTTGTGCAGCCGCCAACAAATATGAAAAACAGCTCGTCATCACCGATCATTAGAAAAATGCAAATCAAAACCACATTATGATAACATCTCAAGCCAGTTAGAACGCAGAACGGCAATCATTAAAAACTAAGGAGACAGCCGATGCTGGAGAGGATGTGGCATTGGCAGTACTTACACATGAACAGAAATGGGTTTGGAAACTGGTAAGGATTTACCTATAAGCCATTCATTGTATCAGCTACCTTGGAAGGATTTGCCACAATTTATTATTTTTTTTTTTCTGAACAGGGTTTCACTGTGCCACCCAGGCTGGAGTGCAGTGGCGAGACCATGGCTCACTGCAGCCTTGACCCCCTGGGCTCAAGCAGGCCTCTCAACTCTGACTCCCGAATAGCTGAGACCACAGGCACATGCCACCACACCCAGTTAATTTTTCTTTTATTTTTTGTACAGTCAGGGTGTCGCTGTGTTGCCCAGACTGGTCTCAAACTTCTGGGTTCAAGCCATCCTCCCACCTCAGCCTCCCAAAGTACTGGGATTACGGGAGGGCACCATTGTAGCCAGCCCTCATCATCATTTAGAACACAGACAACACCCTGCCCAGTGGTTTAGTGGATGGGTGTTTTTGCAAATGTCTCACGTTATACAATCACATATTGCTCAACAACAGATACACAGTGAGAAATGCGTCGTCAGGTGATGTTGTCCTTGTACAAACATCACAGATGTTCATCATATGATGTGTGACATCAGAAATGTCAGACAAACCCGGATGGTACAGCCTCATACACACCTAAGCTGTTCCGTCTAGCCTCATACACACCTAAGCTGTTCCGTCTAGCCTCATACACACCTAAGCTGTACAGTCTAGCCTCTTACACACCTAAGCTGTATGGTCTAGCCTCATACACACCTAAGCTGTTCCGTCTAGCCTCATACACACCTAAGCTGTTCCGTCTAGCCTCTTACACACCTAAGCTGTACCGTCTAGCCTCATACACACCTAAGCTGTACCGTCTAGCCTCATACACACCTAAGCTGTTCCGTCTAGCCTCATACACACCTAAGCTGTACAGTCTAGCCTCTTACACACCTAAGCTGTATGGTCTAGCCTCTTACACACCTAAGCTGTATGGACTAGCCTCATACACGCCTAAGCTGTACGGTCTAGCCTCATACACGCCTAAGCTGTATGGTCTAGCCTCTTACACACCTAAGCTGTACGGTCTAGCCTCATACACACCTAAGCTGTATGGTCTAGCCTCTTACACACCTAAGCTGTACGGTCTAGCCTCATACACACCTAAGTTGTACGGTCTAGCCTCATACACACCTAAGCTGTACAGTCTAGCCTCTTACACACCTAAGCTGTATGGTCTAGCCTCTTACACACCTAAGCTGTATGGTCTAGCCTCTTACACACCTAAGCTGTACGGTCTAGCCTCATACACGCCTAAGCTGTACGGTCTAGCCTCATACATGCCTAAGCTGTACGGTCTAGCCTCATACACACCTAAGCTGTACGGTCTAGCCTGTTGCTCCTAGGCTATAAACCTGCACAGCATGGTACTGTACTGAATACTATAGGCAGTTGTAAGACAATGGCAAATATTTATGTATCTAAACATGGGAAAGGTACAGTAAAAATCGGTTATGAAAGATTAAAAAACTACACTTGTATAAATAAGGCGCTTACCATGAATGGAGCTTGCAGAACTGGAAGCTGCTCTGGGTGAGTAATTTAGTGAGTGGTGAGTGAATGTGAAGGCCTAGGACACCACTGTACACCACTGTAGACTTTATAAACACTCTACACCTAGGCTACACTACATTTATTAAATAATGTTTTTCTGACTGGGTGCGGTGGCTCACACCTGTAATCCCAGCACTTTGGGAGGCCAAGGCAGGTGGATCACGAAGTTAGGAATTTGAGACCAGCCTGGACA